TGTGGTTTTTGTCTTTGGTTCCGTTTCCATGATGGACTATGTTTATTGATTTGCATATGTTGAACCAGCCTTGCATCCCAGGGATGAAGCCCACTTGATCATGGTAGATAAGCTTTTTGATGTGCTGCTGGATACGGTTTGCCAGTATTTTGTTGAGGATTTTTGCATCGATGTTCATCAGGGATATTGGTCTAAAATTCTCTTTTCTTGTTGTGCCTTTGCCAGGTTTTGGGATCAGGATGATGTTGGCCTCATAAAATGAGTTAGGGAGGATTCCCTCTTTTTCTATTGATTGGAATAGTTTCAAAAGGAATGGTATCAGCTCCTCCTTGTACCTCTGGTAGAATTCGGCTGTGAATCCGTCTGGTCCTGGACTTTTTTTGGTTGGTAGGCTATTAATTATTGCTTAAATTTCAGAGCGTGTTATTAGTCTATTCAGGGAATCAACTTCTTCCTGGGTTAGTCTTGGGAGGGTGTATGTGTCCAGGAATTTATCCATTTCTTTTAGGTTTTCTAGTTTGTTTGCATGGAGGTGATTATAGTATTCTCTGATGGTAGTTTGTATTTCTGTGGGGTCAGTGGTGAAATCCCCTTTAACATTTTTTATTGCATCTATTTGATTCTTCTCTCTTTTCTTCTTTGTTAGTCTTGCTAGTGGTCTATCAATTTTGTTGATCTTTTCAAAACAACAGCTCCTGGATTCATTGATTTTTTGAAGAGTTTTTTGTGTCTCTATCTCCTTCAGGTCTGCTCTGATCTTAGTTATTTCTTGCCTTCTGCTAGCTTTTGAATGTGTTTGCTCTTGCTTCTCTAGTTCTTTTAATTGTGATGTTAGGTTGTCAATTTAAGATCTTTCCAGCTTTCTCTTGTGGGCATTTAGTGCTGTAAGTTTCCCTCTACACACTGCTTTAAATGTGTCCCAGAGGTTCTGGTATGTTGTATCTGTTCCCATTGGTTTCAAAGAACATCTTTATTTCTGCCATCATTTCGTTATTTACCCAGTAGTCATTCAGGAGCAGGTTGTTCAGTTTCCATGTAGTTGAGCGGTTTTGATTGAGTTTCTTAATCCTGAGTTCTAGTTTGATTGCACCATGGTCTAAGAGACAGTTTGTTATAATTTCTGTTCTTTTACACTTGCTGAGGAGTGCTTTATTTCCAACTGTGATCAATTTTTGAATCAGTGTGATGTGGTTTTAAGAAGAACATATATTCTGATGATTTGGGGTGGAGAGTTCTGTAGTTGTCTATTAGGTCCACTTGGTGTAGAGCTGAGTTCAATTCCTGGATATCTTTGTTAACTTTCTATCTCATTGATCTGTCTAATGTTGACAGTGGGGTGTTAAAATCTCCCACTATTATTGTGTGGGAGTCCAAGTCTCTTTGTAAGCCTCTAAGGACCTGCTTTATGAATCTGGGTGCTCCTGTATTGGGCGCATATATATTTAAGAGAGTTAGCTTTTCTTGTTGAATTGATCCCTTTCCCATTATGTAATTGCCTTGTCTCTTTTGATCTTTATTGGTTTAAAGTCTGTTTTATCAGAGACTAGGATTGCAACCCCTGCCTTTGTTTGTTTTCCATTTGCTTGGTAGATCTTCCTCCATCCCTTTGGTTTGAGCCTGTGTGTCTCTGCACTTGAGATGGGTCTCCTGAATACAGCAAACTGATGGGTCTTGACTCTTTATCCAATTTGCCAATCTGTGTCTTTTAATTGGAGCATTTAGCCCACTTATATTTAAGCTTAATATTGTTATGTGTGAACTTGATCCTGTCATTATGTTTTAGCTGGTTATTTTGTTCATTAGTTGATGCAGTTTCTTCCTAGCATCGATGGTTTTTACATTTTGGAATGTTTTTGCAGTGGCTGGTACCGGTTGTTTCTTTCCATGTTTAGTGCTTCCTTCAGGATTTCTTGTAGGGCAGGCCTAATGGTGACAAAATCTCTCAGCATTTGCTTGTCTATAAAGGATTTTATTTCTCCTTCATGTATGAAACTTAGTTTGGTTGGATATGAAATTCTGGGTTGAAAATTCTTTTCTGTAAGAATGCTGAATATTGGCCCCCACTCTCTTCTGGCTTGTAGAGTTTCTGCCAAGAGATCTGCTATTAGTCTGATGGGCTTCCCTTTGTAGGTAACTGGACCTTTCTCTCTGGCTGCCCTTAACATTTTTTCGTTCATTTCAACTTTGGTGAATTTGACAATTACGTGTCTTGGAGTTGCTCTTCTCGAGGAGTATCTTTGTAGCATTCTCTGTATTTCCTGAATTTGAATGTTGGCCTGCCTTGCTAGGTTGGGGAAGTTCTCCTGGATAATATCCTGCAGAGTGTTTTCCAACTTGGTTCCGTTCACCCCGTCACTTTCAGGTACACCCATCAGACGTAGATTTGGTGTGTCCACATAATCCCATATTTTTTAGAGGCTTTGTTTCTTTTTATTTTTTCTCGAAACTTCTCGCTTCATTTCATTCCTTTGATTTTCAATCACTGATACCCTTTCTTCCAGTTGATCGAATCAGTTACTGAAGCTTGTGCATTTTTCACGTAGTTCTCGTGCCATAGTTTTCAGCTCTATCAGGTCATTTAAGGACTTCTCTACATTGGTTATTCTAGTTAGCCATTCATCAAATCTTTTTTCAAGGTTTTTAGGTTGTTGGTGATGGGCTCGAACTTCCTCCTTTAGCTCGGAGAAGTTTGATCATCTGAAGCCTCCTGCTCTCAACTAGTCAAAGTAATTCTCCATCCAATTTGGTTCCATTGCTGGTGAGGAGCTGTGTTCCTTTGGAGGGGGAGAGGCACTCTGATTTTTAGAATTTTCAGTTTTTCTGCTTTGTTTCTTCCACATCTTTGTGGTTTTATCTACCTTTGGTCTTTGATGATGGTGTCGTACAGGTGGAGTTTTGGTGTGGATGTCCTTTTTGTTTGTTAGTTTTCCTTCTAACAGTCAGGACCTTCAGCTGCAGGTCTGTTGGAGTTTGCTAGAGGTCCACTGCAGACCCTGTTTGCCTGGGTATCAGCAGCGGAGGCTGCAGAAGATAGTATATTGCTGAACAGCGAGTGTTGCTGTCTGATTCTTGCTCTGGAAGCTTCGTCTCAGAGGGGTACCCGGCCGTGTGAGGTGTCAGTCTGACCCTAGTGGGGAGTGTCTCCCAGTTAGGCTACTCGGGGGTCAGGGACCCACTTGAGCAGGCAGTCTGTCTGTTCTCAGATCTCAGACTCTGTGCTGGGAGAACCACTATTCTCTTCAAAGCTGTCAGAGAGGGACATTTAAATCTATAGAGGTTTCTGCTGCCTTTTGTTTGGCTATGCCCTGTCCCCAGAGGTAGTCTACAGAGGCAGGCAAGCCTCCTTGAGCTTCCTGCAGCTTTGTTTACCTACCCAAGCCTCAGCAATGGCAGGTGCTCCTCCCCAAGCCTCGCTGCTGCCTTGCAGTTAGATCTCAGACTGCCGTGCTAGCAATGAGGGAAGCTGTGTGGGCGTGGGACTCTCCGAGCTGGGCGCAGGATATAATCTCCTCGTGTGCCATTTGCTAAGACCCTTGGAAAAGCGCAGTATTAGGGTGGGAGTGACCCGATTTTCCAGGTGTTGTGTGTCAGTTTCCCTTGACTAGGAAAGGGAATTTCCTTCCCCCTTGTGCTTCCCAGGTGAGGTGATGCCTTGCCCTGCTTCGGCTCTTGCTCAGTGGGCTGCACCCACTGTCTGACACGCCCCCATGAGATGAACCTGGTACCTCAGTTGGAAATGCAGAAATCACCTGTCTTCTGTGTCGCTCACGCTGGGAGCTGGAGGCTGGAGCTGTTCCTATTCAGCTGTCTTGGAACCACGCCCCCAGACAGTCTCCATATACATTTTAAAATCAGCTTCTCAATGTCTACAACAAAAAAGACTCCTGGAATTTTGATTTGGATTTCGTTGTGTCTGCAGATCCTTTTGGGGGAGAATGCATGCCTTAACAACATTGAATCTTGCAATTCAGGAATGTGGACTATCCTTCCATTCATTGAGTTCATATTTAATTTCCCTTGGCAATGTTTATAGTTTTCAGTAATTAGGCCCTCCTTATCTTGCACTAAATTTATTTTTCTATATTTTATATTTTTTGATGCTATTGTAAGTGGTATTGCTTTTATAATTTTCTTTCCCAGCTGTCTTTATAGCTAATACATGAACACAATTGATTTTTGTGAATGACCTTGTATCCTGTGATGTTGCTAAATGTACTTATTACTTCTAGTGATTTTAACTATTAATTCCTTAGGATTTCCTTTACATAATCATATAATCTGCAAATTAAACATTTTTATACTTCTTCCTTTCAACACTTTTTGCCTTTTCTTGATTTATAGCCCTAGATAGGATCTCCTGTACAGTGTTAAACAAAAACAGCAAAAACAGACACTCTTACCTTATTTGTTATCTCAGGGCACATTTATTCAATCTTGGCACTACTGAATAATTCTTTTTTTTTTGGACAGAGTCTTGCTGTTTCTTCCAGGCTAGAGTGCAGTGGTACCATCTTGGCTCACTGCCACCTCCGCCTCCTGGGTTCAAGTGATTCTCCTGCCTCATCCTCCCGAGTAGCTGGGATTATAGGCACACACCACTGCGCCTGGCTAATTTTTTTATTTTTACTAGAGATGGGGTTTCACCATGTTGGCCAGGCTGGTCTCGAACTCCTGACCTCAGGTGATCCACTCGCCTCACCTCCCAAAGTGCTGGATTACAGGTGTGAGCCACTGTGCCAGGGCCAGGCTGGATAATTCTATGTTGCAGGGCTGTCCTGTGCACTGGAGTGGGATCGGCAGCATCCCTGGCTTCTCACCCACCAGAGGCTGGCAGCACCCTCTCACCCCCTGGTGGTGAAAACCTGGTAAGTTACTCTTCAAAAACAAGAACATTTGGAAACATCTGTTTCCAGGTATTGCCAAATATTTCCTTAAGGCAAAATCATCCCTAGCATCACTGTGCCCTTGGAATAGTCAAGTAGAAGAATTCTCACACAATGTTTTTAGTGTTTTTCTCTTTATTTCTTAAAGATAAAATGCAACATACATATTCTACTTAACAATGAAAGCTGATGGAACAGAAGAATCATTATTAGCTTTTGAGATGGGCAAAGACTTAAAACATTGGTGTTTTCTAGTGTCATGATTTGTCAATCAAATTAGTTTTAGAAAATAGTTGGTAAATGTCTGACAGAAAAAAAAAATTTTAATTAAGGTGCATGTAAGTGTGTAAAACTGTTAAAAATGCTTGAAAACAAACATTCTAATCCCATGTTGTATTATTTTTATTTGTAGAAAATAGTTAAAAACTGCCTGTCAGAGAAACTATTTAATCCCTTAACACAAAGTCTTTTAAGGCAAATAAACGTTTATAAAGAACAGTTGAAACCGCCCGCTAGTAAGAAGGGACATTTTAACTCATGTGAGCTTTCAGTCAAGTGAAATAGGTGGACACCAGATGAAAATGCCTGAAAGAAAAGATGGACATTAATTCCTACTCCTGAACACTCGCGTCTGCACGTGGTTAGAAACTCAAGACAATGAGCAGGACACAGAATTCTCTGAGTATACCACACAGATCACAGTTACACAGTATTTCTGCTTTTAAAGCTTTGCTGAAAACGTTTTTCGTCATTAAATGTATATTATTAAACATACACTGAAAGCTAATTGAAGGGATTTAAATAATAAGATTCAGGCACAGTTTGTAACAACAATTGTAAAAGTCAATTCATTTTTTTTTTCCCAAGAAAGGCGAGTGAGGTAGTTTATACTGTATAGACGTTGTAAATAGTTGAAAATCCAGTTTGTTTAGAGATCATTGACTCCAAGAATCATATTCCCAAGTGAGCTGCTTAACAAAGGGATCTTCTTTTGCAGAATGGAGGAAAAAAAATGAATTAACTCTAGGATTTTTTTCTGAATAAGCATTCCTAAAAAGTCAGTTCCCTCTAACACTTTCTCCTGGAGGACATAATTTTTCCAAGTGTATACCAAGAGCACTAGGAATGGGTGAGGGGGAGAAGCTCTTAAGGATAGCATGTAGAAGCCCAGTATCTGCCCTTCTTTTGTTTGCAAAGAATTGCAATGAATTCATTAAACTTTTTAAAAACAACTCTTGATAAGGCAAAAATTCTTTCAATACTTAGATGACAGGCATCTTTGCATTTTAACTGTAGGGGTTTGTTTATTCTGAAGAGTAAAATTGGTCAAAAGAACCTCTTGAATCACACAAATATTAGTTTGTGTATCTACTAAAAATTCTTCTCTAATCAATTTGCCCTCTGATTAAGAATAAAAGTTATATCCAATGATACTAGTATTGACATGGTCTTCCATATATATATATGGAAGTTGAAAGTTGTCAAACATCCTTGAATAAACTAGAGTGATTATACTTATTGACTCAGCTAAGTCTCTGCCATGTAAAACCACATGAAAGTGGACAAGAAATTGTACTTTACCTGTTACCTATTAGGGATTTATTTGAAACTGGTGACAAACTGAAGTAAATCTTAAAACCTTCAGAATTTACTCACAGGTTCTAATGTGTTTTTGGTCAAAAGAAATAAAAATTCTCAAATAAAAAATTTAATGAACAAATTTGTGAATTATCTACATAGACATAACAGAATTGAACTATTTGAATGCAAGGAAATACACTGAGAAATATCACTCAGTTTTCATATATATGCAGAAACATAAGGTAGCTATTTGAAGAATTTCTTCCATATGTGGTCATAAATTACTGCCATTTTACATCTTGGGACGTGGCAATTACATAAAGCAAAATGTTCACCCCTGTTGTCTGAATTGCAAAAATGAAAAAAGCATTTTTTTCAGACTCTAGAAATTCACGATGTAGTCACGTGCCACCAATTATCCATACATTAAAAATGAATAAAATGTAGGAATAAATATAAACTTATATAGAAGGCACGTTTCCTTTTAATGGGTTTTCAGGCAAAAAAAAATTCTCAAATGAACAAATCAAATGAATAGATCTTGTGTTTTCTATAAAAATATAACAAAATCCTAAATTCCAGCAAGTTATCTACATGTTTTAATATAAGCAATGTTTCATATAGATATCAAGGTGTAATATACCATATAAAAGATTTCTTCTACAAATGGGCTTAAATATTACCACATTTCAAGACTTGCGAAGTAGACAAAAAGATGTTTTCTGTATTTGTGAGCAACTCTGTCTACTGCTTGAATTGTTAAGAGAGAGTCATTTGGGTCTTATTACAACCAATATAAATTCATCAAAATCTTGTCTGGGATCAATGAGAACTCTGTCCCCATTTCCAGCTAATTCGAGAAGGATCCATAGTCTCAAGAGGAAAGGCAGAGCTGTCCCATCCCTCAGAACCTTTTAGATTTGCTCCAAATTAGAAATGTGGGGACTATGTGTTCTGGGCGGTCACAGGTCTGGAATATGGCTCTGCAGGCTCTTGATAGTGAGACAGTGGTCATCTTACCAGACATGCATCTGATTTTAAGCCTCAGGCTAATCCACAATGCTCGGCCATGCTTATGATTAACAAACGCAAAATCTGCTTTTATAGTTTATAAAACCTGGATAGAACAGTATTTTTCAGCATTCTTGGATAAAGCAGTTCTGCATTTTTACATTGGGACTGCAGAAGTGACTGTCTGTAGTTGTGAAATATAAAAAAAAATGGTACGTTTGATCAGAAAAGGAAGCCTGTGCCTGGCACTTGGAAAGATACTGAGCACCATAACCATAATGAGAAAATAGAGGCTCTGTGAATGTTAATACATATGACACCCTTTGTCAAACTAAGCTTCACTAGGAGGACCTGTGCTCATAGAAGAATATGCTTTAAAAGTATCAATTTTCCACAGTCAATGATAGAGAAAAGTTCATTTGCACCAGAATGCTGACAGTCACAATACACAGCCTGATGCACGTAACAATGCAGTTTTCTTTAAACAGAAGTTCTTCCTCCTCCAATTCAGGAGTCAGTCAGAGCATAAATATTGTATGTTTCACTTTAGAAACTGATTCTCTTTAAAAAGCAGATCTGGATTATTTTGCAGGGTAGAAATGAAGGCTATTTCTGGCATTCTTGCTCAAAAAGTCAACTATGTACATTAAGTATAAAAAAGGGTCTCTTTCACCTCTTTCGTTGGGTAGCATTGGCTACATAAAGAACATTGCTTATCCCTCGGTCTAGGGCCAAGTTCATTTCTGCTAGGAAGCTGCAATACTAGAAGTGATTAGAGTTCCATATTCTAGATTGATCTTTCTTCTGGAAGGACCACATCATCTTTCCTTTACTTTTATGAAAAAAAAAATATCATGAGAAAGCTTCAGCTGAATTGGTGAACCAGTGCCCCTTCCGTAGTTCATGCTGACGATGTCCGCTGCTGAGGGCCAGAAATACTGAGAAGGTTGTAGGAACAAATATGTCAAACACAGTGTTGTTTTTTCCCTACCAAAATGTAGGATCTTTTTGGCATATAATACATGATAGCAGCTATCTTGAGGATATTTTAAGAACTTGGTTGGGGTTTAATCACCCATTCTGCTTGAGGATTTATACGATATACATCCAATATATAAGCATCTGGATCCAAGCAATGCTCTCCTAAAAGAAAAAGATAAGAGAATAAGTGTACATTTGTGTGTGTGTGTGTGCGTGTGCACACATATGTGTATGTGTGTGTTTGTGAAGTTCAAATAAGGTTAATATAGTTCTCTTGGCCAAAGTAAGTAGACATATGTTAAGGTTTCTTAACAAACTCTTCTTCCTTCTTCTCCCTCTCTCCCTTCCTTTTTTTTTTTTTTTTTTCTTTCTTTAAGACTGTGAAGTATGGGTATATCAAATAAATCTCATGTGAAATTGCGGAAGAAAGCAGACATACCATCACAGGCAAATTGTTCCCTTGCTTCATGGCATCAATTAGAAAATTATGGCAAGCACCGGGTGCGGTGCCTCACACCTGTAATTCCAGCACTTTGGGAGGCTGAGGTGGGCAGATCACTTGAGGTCAAGAATTTGAGACCAGCCTGGACAACATGGTGAAACCTCATGTCTACTAAAAATACAAAAATTAGCCAGGTGTGGTGGCAGGTGCCTGTAATCCCAGCTACTGGGGAGGCTGAGGCAGGAGAATCACTTGAACCCGGGAGGCCGAGTTTGCAGGAGAATCACTTGAACCCGGGAGGCCGAGTTTGCAGTGAGCCGAGATCGTACTACTGCACTCCAGCCTGGGTGACAGAGTGAGATCCTGTCTCCAAAAAAAGAAAAAAGAAAAGAAAGAGAAAAGAAAACTATGGCAAGAACTTGTTTCAGGTATAAACTCATCATTTATATGCTAATACATGTCCTCCAGTGGTTTTATAGATAGGTACTTGACCAGAGCTAGAGAAGATTCAAGTCAAATTCATTTTAGGAATGGTCATTTTGTTTCTTTACTACGGATGTAAAGCCCATAGGTAGGAAATCCCAAAATGGTAACAACTAAAAGATCATCATTCCCTGGGGCAAACCTACTCGAAAGTCTTTACGTGCAGTGTGCTTGAAATGTATGCTGAAGTCTCAAACAAAACTACCAAGAGCTGCCTGCATGCTCGGTTGTTTGATTCATTCACTTACCAAATATTAATCATGTGCCAGGCACTATTCCAGGGGCTGGGTTTACAGCCATGTATCAGTTAACATTCTAAGAGCAGCATAAGGCAACTAACAAACACATAATATCAAGTAAGTCCACTGGTGATAAGAACATGAGAGAAAGGCCAAGCATGGAAGGCATGTTCAGGAGGGTGCGAGGAAGGGGGGTCTCACTGAGAAGCTGATTCATCAGCAAAGACCTGGCAGAGGCCAGGGACTGAGAAGTGAGGGTGTCTGGAGGGAGGGCATCCTGGGGAAGAGTCACAGCACATGCAGAGGCCCCAAATCCAAGCCTGCCAGGTGACTGGATTTACAGGTTTAGTGTTTGAAGGGACCCGTGGGATAGAAATTGCAGGGGCATCCACATACAGGTGGATTTAAAGCAGTGAGATGGATCGAGCTCGCCAAGGAAGGTAAGTGCAAAGAGAGGAGAGTTCCGAGGACTGAACCCTACCGTTCTCCAACCTTGAGAGGCTGAGAGGACAAGAAATAAGGGGCACAGGGGCTCCAGCAGCACAGCCAGGAAACGTGGGAAGACAGTCAGAAGCTTAGGGCGTCCTTGAAGTCAGGTGAAGAAAGTGTTCTTCAAAGGAGGGAAAGATCAACTCAGGCAGTTCTAAAAACAGACGAGTTGTGTGGTGACCACGACAAGAGGGCGATTCTGGTATAAGTGCTGAGGGACAGAGCGTGCCTGGAGTGGCTTCAAGAGAGAACAAGGAGGAAGAAATTGGAGTGTAGACACTGATTCAAGAAGCTTTTGCTGTAAGGTGGAACAGAGAAACGGGAGTAGACTTAAAGAGGGTCAAGAAAGAATTTTGTAAAGGTGAAAAATTGCCAGTTTTTTAAATGCAGATGGAGATGCTGCAGCTGGGAGGGAAAGGCTGATGGTGTGGGAGAGTGGAGGGTGCTGGCGAGAGGAGGCGCTGCCCTCAGTGGGAGCACAGAGCACCCATGGGACTGTGGGATATTCACAGACCAAGCGGGGAAGTTTTGTTGATTCCCCCCCTGCTCCCCCAGGGAAATAGAAAGAATGAATTTGGGAGGAGAGTGAAAATAGGGAAGTTAATCAAAATGGTGTCATGCTTCCAAAAGTTCTTACAGTATTCTCTGCTTTGTTTTGAGTCTCCAGAGAGACTTTCCAACTTCAAGTCATATTGAAAAGACCCAAGCCAGCGAGGCACAGTGGCTCACACCTGTAATCTCAGCACTTTGGGAGGCTGAGGTGGGTGGATCACTTGAGGTCAGGAGTTCGAGAGCAGCCTGGCCAACATGGTGAAACCCCATGTCTACTAAAAATAAAATAATTGTCTGGGCATGGTGGTGGGCACCTGCAATCCCAGCTACTAGGGAGGCTGAGGCAGGAGAATCACTTGAACCTGGGAGGTGGAGGTTGCAGTGAGCCAAGATCATGCCAATGCATTCCAACCTGGGCAACAGAGCAAGGTTCCGTCTCAAAAACAAAACAAAACAAAAACAACAACAATAACAAAACAGGAAAAGATCTAAGCTTACTCCATATCAACACTAAAATATTCTCATTTAAATTTTGAAAATATTTTAGAAAAGTTGTGCAACTGTTCTCACATGAGATAAAAATATCAGAAACCTACTGATTTTTAGTTTTTATCTGAGAGATTTAGAAAATATACCTTTATGGTAATATCAACATATTTCTTTTAGAGTAATCAGAGAATTGAGCAGTAGAAATTATTACAGTATGCTTACCTATATTTCCTCCAATTTCATATAACCTTTGGTTCTGAATCTTAATACATTCTGATGAACCATGACTGAAAAAAAAAAAAAGAGAAAGTAATGTAATTTTAGCACTCTATCCTGATCTGAGGTAAAAATGCATGTTAAACAACCAGGCAAAAAATACTTCTTTCTACCTTGACGAAATATATCCCACAAAACTGTATCATGACTGAAGTTATGATAAAAACAATTGTTTTTCTGTCTGGCACAGACAAGAAGCTGAGGCCCCGGGAGGACGAGACTGCACCCACCAGGTTGGGAAGCCGCAGTGCTCCACCACATAGAGCCCACTGAGGCCACAGCTGCCAGCTCCATTTCAGGGTAGTTACTGTTACTGACACATCAAGGCTGGCCACGGAGCAGCTGCGTGTTTAATACTGCCTTGTCATTGGCCATATTACTCTCAATCCAAAAGAAGTCAGGTTTTATTTCTGCATTTGCCAAAAAATTGAATGGGATTATCAGCCCATGTCACATTTCTCAGTTTGCCTCATGCTTTGCAAGGTGTCTAAGGTTGACTTCATTGCAAGTCTGTGCCCCTTAATAAAAGCAAGTCACGGCCAGGCACGGTGGCTCATGCCTGTAATTCTAGCACTTTGAGAGGTTGAGGCGGGCGGATCATCTGAGGTCAGGAGTTCGAGACCAGCCTGGCTAACATGGCAAAACCCCGTCTTTACTAAAAATACAAAAAATTAGCTGAGCGTGGTGGCGTGTGCCTGTAGTTCCGGCTACCCAGGAGGCTGAGGCAGGAGAATTGCTTGAACCCGGTAAGAGGAGGTTGCAGTGGGTGGTGATCACGCCATTGCACTCCAGCCTGGGCGACAGAGCGAAACTCCATCTTGAAAATAAAATAAAATAAAAATAAAATAAAATAAAAAAATAAAATATAAAATAAAATATAAAATAATATAAAATATAAAATAAAATAAAATAAAATATAAAATAAAAAATAAAATCACAGGAAACTACCACTCAATTTAATTTTTCCACCCCAGACTAGAATGCTGGGTTAGAAGAGTCTGAAAGACTATCGCTGACCTCCATCCCCATCAAGGAGTGACTTTCAGCTTGGTTCCTTCAATCATTGTCCTGGCCTCTCCACTGTGAGGAAGATGCAAGTGTGCCCTCTTTTTTTGTTGTTGTTTTTGTTTAATCGAACTTTCATTTGAGATGCTGTAGATTCACACGTAGTTGTAAGAAATCATAAAAGCGCATCCTGTGCACCCTACACCGATTTCTCTCGATAGCAACATCTCATAAAACTCTAGTGCAGTATCACGACCAGAATGTTGACAGCCATTCAGGGAAGATGCAGAACATTTCCAGCCTCACAAGGCACCCCCTGCTGCCCCTTTATAGCCACATTCACTCCTTCTCCCCATCCTACCCTATCCCCATCCCTTACCCTGGCAGCACTACCCTATTCTACACTTCTATACATTGGTCATTTCACAAAGGTTAAACAAATGGAAACATACAGTATGACACATTTTTGTACTAGTTTTTTTTTTTTTTTTTCCAACTTGGCATAAATCCCTAGAGATCCACCCAAGTTGCTGCATTTTTATTGCTGAGTAGTATTCCACGGTATAGAGGAGCCAGTTCTGTAGTCACTCACCTGCTGAAGGACACCTAGGCTTTTTCCCCCCAACCCTGCCAGTTTTTGACTGTGTAAATAAAGCCGCCATCGGCATTTGTGTACAGGTTTTTGTGTGAACACGCTCTTCATTTCTTCGGGATAAATGCCCAGGAGCGTGAATGCCGGGTCATATGGCAGCCGGAGATTTAGTTTTTTTAAGAAACTGCCAAACTATTTCATGGAGTGACTACACTATTGACATTCCCGCCAGAAATGCATGAGCGACCCTGTTTCTCTGTATCTTTGTCAGTATTTGGTGTTGTCAGTATTTTTTATTTTAGCCATTCTCACAGGTGTGTAGTCATATGTAATTGTGGTTTTAATGAGCATTTCCATAATGGCCAACGATGTTGAACATCTTTCCATGGGCATAGTTGCCATTTGTTTATCTCTTTGGTGAAATGTAATCTGTATCTCTTTGGTAGTGTCTGTTCATGTCTTTTGCCCACTTTCAAACTGGATTGTTTGTTTTTTTAACTGTTGAATTTTGAGTGTTTTATTTACATATTCTAGATACTAGTCCTTTGTTGGATACGTGGTTTTGCAAATACTTTCATTCCAGTCCGTAGTTTGTCTTTTCATCCTATTCACATGGTCTTTTAGAATGTAAGTTTTCCATTTTGATGAAGTCTAATTTATCAATTTTATTTCTTATGGGTCACATTTTTGATGTCAAGCTCTAAGAACTCTTTAGTTTTAGATCACAAATATTTTCTCCTACATTATTTTCTAAGGGTTTTATAGTTTTACACTACACACTTAAGTCTGTGATTGTTTTGAATTAATTTTTGAATAGGTGTGAGGTTTAGATCGAGGTTTATTTTTTGCCTATGGACGTCCATTGCTTCAACACCATTTACTGAAAAGGCTTCCTCCATCGAATTGCTTTTGTACTTTTCTCAAAATCAGTTGCTGGAATAGCCAAATTCATAGAGACAGAAAGGAGAAGAATGGTTGCCAGTGGCTAAAGGCAGGGTGAATGGGGATAGAGTCTCCGTGTGGGATGATAAAAAAGATTTTGGGTATGAATGATGGTGATGGTTGCACAACAATGTAAATGTACTTAGTGCCGCTGAACTGTCCCTTTGAAATGGTTAAAACAGACTTTTATGTTACATATAGTTTACAATAAAAATCTTTTAAAAATCAGATGGGCCTATTTGTGTAGGTCAGTTTCTGGGTTCTCTATTCTATTCCATTGATCTAAGTGTCTATTCCTCCACCAACACCATACTATCTTGATTACTCTACCTTTTATATAATCAGCCTTAATATCTAGTAAAGTGATTCCTCCTACTTTATTCTTCTTTTTCAATATCATTTTAGTTATTCTAGCACCTGTGCTTTTCCATATATATTTTTAGAATAAGCTTGTGCGTGTTTACAAAGTAACTTGCTGGAATTTTGACAGGAATTGCATTAAACCCATAGATAAATTTGGGGAGAACTGATATCTTTACTGTGTTATCTTCCAATCCATGAAAATGATATGTCTCTCCATTTCTTTAGGTCTTCTTTAATTTCTTTCACCAGCATTTTGTAATTTTCAACATATAGATCCTGTAAAGGTTTACTTAAGTTCGTGCTTAAGTATTTATTTTTAGAGTGACTGTAAAAGGGTATTGTGTTTTTACTTTTGGTTTTAAATTCGGTTTCCACATTTAAAATGTATTCCAATATTCCAGTGTGACTGATTTTTGTGTGTTAATCTTGTATCCTGTGATCTTACTGAACTGACTTATTAGTTCTAGGTCTCTTTAGGTTTTTATTTTATGAAATTTTTAATGTAGATATTCAGGTCATCTGCAAATAGAGACCATTTTATTTCTTCCTTTATAACCTGTGCACCTTTTCTTTTCTTTGCCTTACTGCAGTGACTTAATATTCCAGAAGTATGTTGAAAGAGATTGATGAAAGTGGGCATCCTTATTCTTGCTCTTAGAGGGAAAGTATTCAATCTTTCATTGTTAAGTATGATGTTAGCTGTAGGTTTTGTCGATAATCTTTATCCAGTTGAGTAAGTCCTCTTTTTCTAGTGTTCTGAGAGTTTTTATCATGACTCGGTGCTGGATTTTGTCAAAGGCTTTTTTTCTGTATCAATTGAGATGACTGTATGGTTTTTCTCCTGTTGATATGACTAATTACATTGATTGATTTTTTAATGTTAAATCAACCTTGCATGCCTGAAAAAAATCCATTGGTTTATGGTATATAATTCTTTTAATAAATGCTAGGTTAGATTTGTTATTTTGCTGATAATTTTTAAAATCTAAATTTATGAGATATTGGTCTCTAGGGCTTTTGTTTTTTTTAAATATAATTTTTAATTTTTGGTATTAGGGTATTAATATAAGCTTCATAAAATGAGTTAGGGAGTATTCCTCCCTCTTCTATTTTCTAGAAAAGATTGTTCTAGATTACTCTTAATTCTTTAAACATTTGCTAGTTTTCTCCAGCAAAACCATCTGGGCTTCCAGAGCTTTTAAAAACTTTAAAATTATAGATTCAATTTCTTTAATGGCTATAGCACTATTCAGCTAGTCAATTTCATTTTGGTTGTATTTTGGTAATTAGTGTTTTTTGAGGAATTGGTACATTCTAAGTTTTGAATTTATTAGCTGTGAAGTTGTTACAGTGATCCTTTTTATCCCTTTAATGGAAGTACTGTACAGTGATACCCCATTTGACTCTGGATATCCTTGATGTGTGTCATCTCTTTATCTTTGTTAGTCTTTCTAGGAGTTTATCAATTTTACTGCTTTTTTAAAACAACTTTTTGTTTCACTGATCTTTATCATTTTCCTGTTTTTAATTTCACTTATTTCTGCTTATCTTTATTAATTTCTTCCTTCAGGTTGTTTTAGGTATATTTTGCTCTTATTTTTGTAGTTTTTAGAGGTAGGAACTTGGACAGTGGATTTGAGATCTTTCATTTCTATCATAAGCATTTACTGCTATAAATTTTTCTCTCAGCACAGCTTTAGTTGCATCCCACATAATTTTATTTTTAAAATTTTATTTATGTATTCATTTTTGAGACGGAGTCTCACTCTGTCACCCAGGCTGGAGTGCAGTGGTATGGTTTCGGCTCACTGCAAACTCTGCCTCCTGGGTTCAAGTGATTCTCCTGCCTCAGACACCTGAGTAGCTGAGATTACAGGTGACTGCCACCATGCCTGGCTCATTTTTGTATTTTTAGTAGAGACGGCATTTCACTGTTGGCCAGGTTGATCTCAAACTCCTGACCTCGTGATCCACCCGCCTCAGCCTCCCAAAGTGCTGGAATTACAGGCATGAGTCATCGTGCTCAGCCTATCTTTCTGGATTCTATCTTGTTTCATTTATAGAATTTTTGAGTATATTGCTTTGTATGGCTTTGTGCTTTCTCTGGAT